AAAAAAAAAAAAAAGTCTTTGTCAGACACCAGAGTTGTTAGGACCTTGATTTTGGACTGCTCAGCCTATAGAACTGTAAGAAATAAATATTTGTTGTTTAAACTAATCAATATTTGGCTTTCTGTTCTGTTACTGACAGCTTCCTTTCCTACAGTAAAAGATAAACCCTGCTCTCTTCTGCTTGAAAATGGCTGTACGAGAGGAGCCATTGATCCCATGAAGAATAATGCCAGATAATGGAGTTGGAAAACAGAAATTTGGGTGTTGAAAGATATCTTGGAACCTTCATACCATCCCTGGATTGCCCTACTTCATCCTTGCTATGATGTGAGCCAACCTCTCAACCCACAACAAACAACTGATGCAACATATTCCAACAGGAAAGACTAGTTTAGGCATTTATTTCTTTCTCATGATGGGTCTGACAGAGTTTTAGGCCAATCTCTAGGGAGCTGGAATGGAAGTATTAGTTCAGCATTTGCAGGGTCTAATCTGTTACAATTGCTCTTACAGTCACTCTGAAAAAAAGGGCCAAAGATCAGAGCAAGCACAATAAAATACTCTAAACAAAAGTGACACATTTCATGCAGACACATATTTTATTATCCAAGCCAAATTTTTCTGATGAGGACTTGCCTCAATATGTAATGAACAACATGTTTCTATGTCTGGAAAGAAGAGACTGGAAATATTAGCGAGCAGTACTTATTTCTGTTGCATATATTGGAGATCATCATGTCAGTTGAAAACTAAAGGAAAAGCTATTACAGAAAATAATGGCCAAACAAAAATGTTAAGGTAGCTTGCTAAAATAATTGTACAAAAACAAACTTCCGGTTTTAGTAAATAATGCATCCCCTCATTTTTCTCATATGGTATGTTTTTTTCAGCGTAGAGCTTTGCTAGTAATTGGCATAGAAACAGGTGTGACAGACACAGGAAAGACATGACAGCCCGACCTGTAGACATCCTCATTCACCCCTGGTTATTTTCCATGGACACACTGATTTTTCTCCTCTAAGCTTTAAACCTGCTGTGAATCTAGAGATGAACGAAGAAGAAATGCTGCTGATCTGTAATTGCCCAGGACATGTTCCAGCTGCCCTCTCAGCAGTTCCTTCTGGGTAACTTGTTTTCTCATGATTGTAACTGCAGTAAAGTGATTTTTAAAAGTCCCTGGGAGTTTGGTAAATAGAATTGAGTTGAAGCATGACTCAGGGCTTTCATATAGACTCAATGCAGAGTTGATGGCATGTGAGAGGATAAGTGGCTCCAAACGTGGAAGTCCCAGCCTATAAAATGTGCCTTTCTATGTGTAGTGCTCTACGGGAGCATGGACCTTCAGTGGTGTGATAAGGAAGCATGGAAGGGTGTGGTGAAAACAGTGTTAGATCTGCTCCGAAGAGCTATGCTTTGAGCTGTAATGGTCTGTAGAGTCACATGTTCTGGTCTAGCTCTGATTCTTTCTAGATGGGTGACCTAGTCACCTTCTCACCTTTTGCTTCCTTCTCAGCAGGGAAAATAAGGTAGTCTAGATTTTTTCAGGATCAGAATGCATTTTTTAAATTTCTCTAAAAATTCATCTTTTAAACTGTACTTTACTTTACTGAAATTTTTTGGACTGTTGACCATTAATTGTGTTATGTGAACTTGACTAATTTAAGAAACATCCAGCAAATTAGCAAGACACATAAACACATTTCTGCGATTCTTCAAGGTGTTTCCAGAGCTGACTGACATGTAGGCCAGCACCCTAATGGTGGGTAATCTTATGCAATAGATATGCAGCCCAACTGGCATGAAAGGGGAAGGGGAAACTTGGCTTGGATTTGAAAAGCGCCATTCTACTTGAACAATCGGGGGCTTTGCTACAGTCATTGCTGTGGATATCAGACTCCAATTTCTTCAGTCTTTCAATGCAGACTCATGCCAGTAATTCTTGAGGGACGTTCCAGGCCTTCAGCCTCTCACTAGAACTTCATTCTTGATCCTTCCTGTTCTGTGGCTTCCAGCTTCTTACACTGAGAAGCTGCTTGATCCTCCAACTGTCCAGTGGGCAGATGGCCATTGTACATTCTCCTGCCTCTGATCTTTTAATCCTACCTAATAAATCATAATCACACACACACACACACACACACGCACACACACACACATGAGTTTTTTATTCTTTTCTCTTAGAGAACACTGACCATTACAAGATTTTATGAAACAAATCCAATCTTTCTATTAGAAATCTTTAGAAAGCTATGTGTTAAAGACTAACATTCTAATTTATTTTTCCTTTTCTCAGGATTTCCAAACCTTGGGTCAGAATGCAGGGAGAAAATACTTTGATTATACTCAACACTTGCTCTGTCTTTTGGATGTTAGGCTTATTGGTATCAGGAAAATGTTATGAATTCAGGTCAGATAGGCCATCAGGAAGATATAGATGAAAAGTGTTGTCTAGGCAGAATGGATATCAGAAGGGAAGATTTCTTGAATGCCTCAAATTTGTGATAGGTTCTGACTATATCCAAATGCAATATTACATATTGGCTATACATATTATGTTCAGATTATGACTGTGGTTTCCTACTTTTTTCATAGCAGGAACTGTTTTCCTGGAAATTTTTCCATGCAAAGGGGTAGAGTGGGGTTTGGGGTAAGGTGCATTACATGCTGTAAAGACAGATGAAAATTCACTCACTTACTCACTACTTAACTTCTACTGTGCAGCCAAGTTTCTAATAGACCACACATTGACACAGGCCCCTGGCTCAGGGGCCGGGTATCTCTAGAATTTACAAAAGACGAGGGAGTAGAGAAAGAAGAGTTGAAAGATGCTATAGGATGACAATGTCAAAAATAATACAATTAAGAACTAGTACGCTGTGATAACACACGATGATCATAAAGATAGCTAACATACATTTAGGACTTACTATAGGTTTGGTGTTTTTGTGGTTTAAGTGTGATTTGTATGAGTCCTTCAAAGAATTCTTTTAGAGTCAGGCCCTTACTGTGAGAGTTGATTAGGATTTGATGATGCCATCCAAGTGGATCTTCCTTCTCCCCATAGTTGAATACTGGTGGCTTTATAAGAACAAGAAGAGAGAACAAAAAATACATACAGATGCATAAACCCTGTCTCTTGCTATGTTATGCCCTTCACCACCTCAGGACTCTGACAGTAAGAAGGCTGTCATCAGAATTGCCCCCAGATCCTCAGAGCTGTGAGCTGAAATGAACCACTCTTCTTAGGAAGTTACCTAGTCTGTGGTATCGTTTTATTAGCAATAGAAAAGAGCTAATATTGGTGTTATATGGAGTGCTTTATCATTGCTGTCTCAATTAATCTTCAAAATAACCCTGTGTGACAGTTCCTGTCATTATTCACTCTTCACAGACAAGGAAATTGCAGCTTCTTAAATTTAAGTAATTTCTCCAAGAAAATAAGGAAGTAAATGGCCAAGTCATGGTTGAACCCAACTCTGTTCATTATGAATTCCTTTTCTCTCCACAACCTTACTGACTTTTCTTTTTGTTATACTGTCTCCATGTTAATGAGGTTACAGCAGTGTTTTGGCTTCTAAAACAAACTGCAGCCATCAGGCATCAAAGAGCAAAGGAATGAAACTAAACAGTTCAGGGAAGACAGAGATAGTGGAAGTTTAACTAGATTATGTACAGAAGATAAATCATGTAGTGGTGTCGCTGGTTTACTCCACCAACTTAGAGGCTTCTCGAGCTCTTTCTTTGTCCAGATGTCTTTACATTTTGTTTGGCCACCCTGGTTGATAGTGAGTTTTACCACCATGTACTATATAATGAACTGAGACACAGTTCTCTGCCTCTTGTACATGTGACTTAAAATCTGAGATCAGAAGTTGATGATATTTGACAAATAGAGTGGCAAAGTTGGCTCTTCTCTGTCATCTTGAAAGGTGCTGAGGGACAATGAGTATAATGTCTTCAAGCTGGTATCCATGTACTCAATGACAGAATAAGATCATGGTCAACAAATAATGTTCCAGCACCAAGAAGTAATTTCAAAGCAATCCAAGTATTTTATTCTTATATTTCCTACATATCATGATTCTTATAGTTTCTACTGGATTCTAAGTCATTCTGATTTCCTGTGCCATCCATTGCCTTTATGAAGTTGTTCCTGTATTTACTTTACAACTCCCTCTAAGACTTCTAGTCTAACATTATAGGGCTCCCTTCTAATAGAAGAGGACACATTGAGAATAAGAAGGCCAAAGTTGAATCTTCATCAGCAGGCTGTACAGGAGGCAGCCGGGAAAATCTCTTAACTTTGGTCCTATTCCACAAGCATTTGCTGATCACCAACACTGTAACTAGGGGTTGGGAGGGAGGGATAAGGTAGCTAGAGCAGCTGCTTTTCACATATGGTGTACAAAGCATTGAATCTGTACTGGGAGATCAGTGTGCCATCTTTGATATGCAAGTTCCCAATTGCTGATTATCCAAAAAGTCATGAAAGGCTATTAATTTAAATTTAATTTTGCACTGGAGAATGCTTTTAATGTAGGCAGGCTCACCAAATCAGCTCTCAATCATGTTCAAATGTTTACTGAGGGACATGTTTGACTTCTAGAAGTAATTCATAGTCAGTAGTCCAGAAAGGAGAACTCCCAGTAGAATAAACAAGAGTTTCTTTCTCCCATACAAAAAATGTATTATTGCTTCATGCCAAAGAGCTAGCGTTTATAAGCATATTTCTTTCTGGTTCCTCAACCTTAGCAATACCACAGTCTTGTTCAGCGTAGAGGTGAATGTTTATTAATTTGAGGCCAGATGGAAATTTTGATAGATTTTTGGCATTATGCACAAGAGAAGCACTGTTTGAAAAATATAATTGGTGCTTAGTAAATGAAATGCAAGATTTGGTTGCAATATTTTCCTGCTCAAGCTTAGCATATCATTTGAACTTTAGTGTAGTTGCAAAAGTTATATGTCACCTAAAACCTTTAAGGTAAAAACTTACAAATAGTTTTAAAGTTATACATATAATTTTTTTTTTTTTTTTTGGTACCGGGGATCGAACTTGGGTCCTTGCGCTTGCGAGGCAGGCCACCAAACCACTGAACTAAATCCCCGGCCCCATATATATATAATTTAAAAAGGGATCTGATATATATCTTGGAAGAGGAGCTTATTGGTAGGAAGTAAGATTTATACTATAAGAGTGGAAAATAAGAAAAATAGGTTGACTTCATTTATTTTCTCATTCATATAAAAAGAGAGTGACATACAATCTGATCTAGAGGTTAGTGGTTCATTAAATAACAGGATTTATATGTTGGCTGAGATATTGTAATCATATACATGCCTAAATTTATAGCACAAGTGACAGAAATAATAATTGTATAATAAAGGAGACCATACATGACTACAATGCCAGAGTAGCCAGAAACCTCATTGTGACCAATAGTAGTCCAATAATCTCTCCATAAACCCTTTCTTTCATCTTTGTGCCCAACTTGTAGGTAAAAAGGAGAAATTTGCATTTCACGTTCGAGGCATCAATTGACATTTTGTGTCAACTGTCTATTTCTTCTCCTTAGTAAAAATGAATCTCAGATATGTTGAGGATA